CACATTCTTTCTGATTTGAGTGGATCCATCTGTATCAAGCTAGCTAAATATGTTTATCATGTGAATTATTGCTAAATATGCAGTTATATTACAGGCTGTTGGCATGAATTGCACTCGTGGCAGAGCGGTAGTGGAGCGCTCTTAGAGTTGAGTTTTTAAAAATCTGCTCCTCCCTCCATTCAAAATTACACTGCTCCCCTCACATACTCTGGCTTAAATGAACAATAATCCATTACTAAATGTGATAGATATGTTGGCACTCTCCTACATTAAAATGATGGGTGTAAAATCGATTGATGACATTTATGTAGGAAAATTGTGATATAATGATAATATATCATCTACTGTAAGCAGTATTAGCTGTTGGAAATGGTGTTAGGTAGTGTTTATCCACCTTATTTTGCAATTAGGAAGTAAGCTATTTTTTTAGTTTTTTTTTTTTGGGAAATTGTTACAAAGTTTCAGTTAAACAAGTAGTTACTATGGATTTGACCATTTCCAAACAAGACGCTTAATCAGTAGTGCAAGTAGTTTTACATGTTACAGCATCTTAAGGACAAAAGCTTGTCACCCATGTGTGGTAGTAAGTGTGATATAAGCATAATAATATAATAGCTTTGTTCCTTTCACTTCAAAACAAATAACACCTATAACTCCTTCCTATATGAAAACACAAAAGTGTCACAACCAGAATGAAGGGGTACACACTTTTTTTGTTTTAGTTTTTGATTAAATGGCTAGTAGTGGTAAAGAAAAAAAAAGTATTGCTGGTGTGAACTGCCCATTAGTGCTTGTTCTCATCTGTCTTGCAGTTTATGTAGGGGTGGAGCACAGATGTGCCTTTGAGAGAGCGAGACATGGGGGAAGGAGATTGTTGTGGTGGAAGAGCATGTCAGAACGTGCCACCACCTCTGGATCAGGATCTTCATGAACACACAGAAAGAGGGAGAGAAAGACAGGGTATCCCCCTCCCCTGTCTCTCTTTCTGTGTTATCTCAGAGAGGCAGAGGAATTATGGGTGGAGAGGAGGAGGGTCATGTGACATTGCAGCAGCTGCTACACTGAACGTTTCACTTGACGAAAAGGGATTGTGTGTGTGTGTGTTGCTTTGTTAGATAAGCTCCAAACGTTTTTTTTTTCTGAAAGAGCGACAGTTTGTGAACTAAGGAAGTAAACGGAGACAGTGTGCTTGACGTTAATTTAGAGGTGTTGTGATTGTGTGATACTGTGTTTGCAGGGCTCGCAAAATCGCTAGCCCGACGTCCCAGGGCTATTGTGTTTTCCAGTCGGGCTACCAAAATGTATCACCGCTCTGCCCGACGGGCTATCTTAAAGGGGTCATATAACGCTGCTAAAAAGAACATTATTTGGTGTAATGAAATGTGTTTATGCGGTTTCAAGTTAAAAAAACACATTATTTTCTACATACTGTACATTATTGTTTCTCCTCTATGCCCTCCCTTTTTGAAACGCGTCGATTTTTACAAAGCTCATCGGTCTGAAAAAGCGAGGTGTGCTGTGATTGGCCAGTTATCCAATGCGTTGTGATTGGCCGAATACCTCAAGCGTGAGACGGAAATGTTACGCTTCTCACCATACTGTTGATGCCGTGTCCCGGCCGGAGCAACGAGACAAAAACATTAAAACCCATAGCACGGATCAGCTCCAGGCATGACGAAGCGGATATCGTCCTCTTTTGGAAGGACAAACAAAGTAGTTTCGCTTTCACAACGAAAAACACAGCGGCCTAGCGTGAGGGGAAGCTCCGGCTTAGCGTGCGCTGAGGCCGGGATAGAGTGAGCTGAGGCGGCGGGGTCGAGAACGGCGCGCCCGGTGGATCCGACGAATGAGCAGCAACCACATGTAACGGACCCCGGGCTGGATTCGGCTTTGTCCACAGTGAAAGTTGATGTATTTCCTCAGCGACCAGCACAGATCAGCTCTAGGCATGACGAAGCAGATCTCGTCCTCTTTTGGAAGACCAAACAAAGTAGTTTCGCTTTCACAACGAAGCACACAGCGTCTTCACGACATGGCTGCAGCGTCAACAAAACTACAGTGAGGCTAAAAGTTACGCCTTCTTTCTTTGCGTGAACATTTGGGCGGCGTTATGCAAATCTTCCTACATAGTGATGCGGATATGTGGGGAAGTGTTAGAACCAGCCGGAGGTATGGCTGACTCTGAACTTTTATAAAGAATATCTCTTTGGATTTGAGACTTTAGTCTTTGCAACTTTACAGATCTTCTTTATGCACCAAGAGCTTGTAACACTCCAAAGAGAAAGGAAAAATTTAAATCGCATCATATGACCCCTTTAAATGCAAATCTCCCACGGGTCCTTAAAAAATCCTAAAGTGAGTTGTATCAAACTTAAGGCCATAAAAAGTTTTAAATACATTAAATGGTATAATAAATGTCTTAATTATAATTTCAAGAGGTCTTGCAGTTAGGGACGGAAAGACAAGCGTCGCGATACGGCTGGATTAAACTTCAAAAGGCAATGATGTCATTGAATAAATATGAGCGCTGCACGTTTCAAATCAAGACGCGGCGTGGATGTCTTTATTTGAATGTATCTGAAGGCAACGGACTGTCCTCAGAAACGTGTCGTTGGCATTTTAATTTCATTTGACCTATAATTCCTGATAAAGCAGCGTTTATGAGCGCGGAGCTGCTTTGTGTACAGCCGTTACTGGGGAAAGCGCAATATTTCAGCGCTCCTGAAGCACCACATCGTGGCAGAGAATGAATTTGCATTTCCAATAAGCCTTTCTTGCTGTTTATGGTCAGATCAATGCAAATGTCAACTCATGTTTTTACGCAGCAAACACAGAGTTGTAAATGAGGAAGAAGTTAATGTGCCTTCTAAAAATCTAAACAATTAAGACATAATTTTTTATGCTTGATTTATCCCTTTTCATAAAAATGGTCTAAAGGCTGAAATGCTATCGTATAAGATTTTTGTTTTTGTGAAAAGCTGTATCTGAACTGTAAATAATGTAATTTTATGGCCCAATACTGCATGTTACTATAGACATTGTCCAACCCCACTCATACAGTGTTCATTTTACTATTGCAGCTCTTAAAATGGGTCATAAAAATTGCCTTAAATTATAATTGTTTTTAATTCTGCAGATACCCTATAAATAGTTAAATAAAATTCCTTCCTTCATATTTGTTGATATTTGTGTATTGAAAATATTTTTGATTGACATTTAAACTCCTATCTGATTTTCTATCTGATTTTCTATATTTAAAAAAAAAATCTTTTTTTATTTGGGCTAGTTAAATACATTTTCGGGCTACCAAAATCTGAAGAGTACCTCCCCGAAGGGCTAACAGGGATTCTGAAATTTTGCGAGCCCTGGTTTGCGACTCCCATCATGCATCTGTGAGCTGGAATGTGAACACAGTAGTGCTGTGCATCTGCACTGTGTGAAGGGTCAGTCTGAGGATCAGCGTTTCAGTGCAGCTGTGGTTTGTTTCATTATTAATTGCTCTGAGTGGTTTGTGTGTAGTGCAGTGGGTGAACGGGTCTTCAGAGAGCTCCTCTATCTGTCTGTCTGTCTGTCTCTCGCACCCCTGTTTGTACTGAAATGATGGTGGATCTGTGATTGGCTCTAAGAACTGGCCTATGTTTCTACTGCCATGAAAGAAAAAGATTAGTGAGGCACTGATTGTTACTGCAGATCCTGCCCACAAACAAACTTGGAGTCAACGCTGGCATTCGGCAGGGATGAGGACTGTTTGAAAGTCTTTTTTCCACTTAAACTTTGATGCACATCTTCTCAGTTTATTACGTCAACATATAAAAGATGTGATAGTAAAACAAGCAGGAAATTGTTTTAAATCATAACATTAGTAATATTAATTATAACAATTTGACAATCTCAGCAAAAATATCACTCGAAAATAAATATTTTTGGTTGCAAATGTGACCGTTTTAGGTGCAGTCTGGAGCTCTGTTTGTTGTTGGCTGTTTTTCAGGGTCGTGATAGGCACCTAGTCAATTAGTGAGCTTGAATAGGCTACATATTAGATGATTGTCTAGGCCCCTGTAGTTGTTTTTTAAAATTTTTATGATAATATCAAAACATTAAATTTTAAATTGTTACATTTTACTCTGCAATAGTAATACATGTCTGTCCATTTCTTTTCAATTAAATAAGCTTTTATTTTGGCAGAAAACTGAGTGTATTTTTTAAAGAAGCATTTCTTTCCAGATGGAATATTGAAATGCTTGGTGAACTCTCAGAACAGTTTTGGAGATGGAGTATGTGTAGTGCATCACGTATACTTGAGTATATGTAGTAGATAGCAGATAGAACAGAGCACAGCTTATTCTTTCTAAACACACACAGAATATATATTTGAGTAAATTGCTGCATTTTGCATCCTTTTTCTCCAATTTTTCAAATTCTCCTTTGCAATTTCTGTAAAACACGTCTGATTGATATCAGGTGACCCCAAAACCAGCCTAATTACTCTGGGCTTTCATTGATGCCTGGCCAGAACAGGGCCTGATTGAGCACCACAAGTCTTGTCTCTTTCTCTCGATCTGGTAGTTGAGATGCTAACATGCATTTTTCCAGGCCTGTGTTCCTCTATTCTTAGTCCAGATTTAACCCATCACTTCTGCGTATGGATTTATTTTTTTGTGATTCTGTATTTAATCAGTGTAAATTAAACAAAGCATGTTTAATCTGTTCATGTTTTTATGTTTTGGTACATATACTTTTAGAGTGTGTGTGTGCGCGCGTGTGCTTGTGCGTGTGTGTGTGTATGTGTGTGAATCCTGGCAGACAGACAAGCTGATCTTGGGCATAATCTTTGACCTCTTCTTCTTCACCTCTGTCCTGCAGCTGTTAGGGTCAGACAGTGTTTTTATGTGTCAGGCTTTTTACGTCCTCTTCTCAGTGAGTCAACCCATCAGTGCAGGGTCCATGTATTTCCTGTTTTTTGCTTTTAATATCTCACTCTGCTTCTCTGTCTCCTTCAGGCATGAGCCATGAGTCAAAGTCACCATCGTTAGGCATGATTTCCACGGCTACCCGCACCACGGCGACAGTCAGTCCCCTCACCCCGTCTCCCCTCAACGGTTCTATTGTGCCCAATGGCAGTCCTGCATCTCAGTCCACCCACTCAGGATTTGCCGCCGCCCTGCGCAAGCTGGCCAAGCAGGCAGAGGAACCCAGAGGTAAGCTGTGACCCCCTGACATTTGATCCCTGACTCATGTGTCAGTGCTCCAAGGACACAGATGTACCCTGGGTGTCGTCCCCTTATTGCTATGAAAATGACCCTTTAGTGGAATTCAAACTGGATTGAATGAAGTCTGTTTTCCTGCACGTCTTGGTCATGTTTAGTGGCCCACTTGTGCTAGACCACAGTGTTTACTATGGCATCATCTCAACAGGGTCAGTAGTTCATGGCTTGGGTCATGATCCAGTGCTGTTGGCTTCTGGGCCTCATGGAGATTGGGTGAAAGAGCTGTGTTTACTGAGCTGAAAATTAAAATTCTGCTGCGTCTAATACTACGTATTAACATGTTTGGAAAAAAATCTGAGCAGGCTACTTTATGTTAGTTATGTGAGCATTAAAAGTAGTTTGGTTGTTGAGTAATATTGTATATTATATATTTTATAACAGTGCTTCTCAACCTGGTTCCTGTAGACCCCCACTCATAACACTACACATCTTGGCTGTGCCCAAAAGCTAAAAAATGCTGCCTCCACAGGCAGCATACATAGGTAGGAAGGCAACAAGGCACGTCCGAATCCAGTGATCACGACACATCATGTCTGCTGAGATACCTTCATCTGATCGATTTTTTAAGGAGGTATATATGTATCCATTGCTGCCTATGATATCCCACAATCCTGTGCATTCGATTCCGTAACAGTTGAGCTAAAAAAACAAAGATGCATCTAAAAGTTTTGGTTGGCTGTAAATGTTTTTGATGAACTTTTTTCCACTTTCGATGTCATTTCTAGCTAGACATTAGTACTGTAGTAATTTAATATTGACTTAATTATCTCCAGAGTTTTCTCTATTTTGTTAAACTAGATCATTAAACTATTATGCTGTCTCAGAAGTATGTCCGAATACATTTTCAGGAGGTACGCTAAAGTCATTACCTGATAGGGCAGCAAGTTTTCAGACACAGCCATTGTATGCCTCCCTAATCAAACACACTTGATTCAAGTGATCAGACTCTTAATACCTGAAATGTGTGTCTCAAAAGACAATAGAGACGTTCAAAATGTGCAGTGCAGGAACAGGGTTGAGAACCACGGTTATAATAATAACTTTTGTATTTTGTTTTTAACTCAGGTTTTACATTGCTTTTTTTTAATCCCTTGGAGAGATGAGTTCTTTCATATTTGAATCACAGTTCTCTCATTTGAATTAGATCATCTGTGTTTGCCATTTTTGTTGCTTTTTATTGAAGATGATCAAGGTTATAAATGCTGTCTGCTGGGCCCTCCATCTCCATCCTGCTTTTTTGTGCACAGACACAATATGAACATATCTGTAGAAAACGCCACTCTCTGTGGGCACACAGTAATATCCAAAGTATCCAAAAAATGAAAATTCTGTCATCATTTACTCACCCTCAAGTCACCAAACAGTTGATGGTAGCCACTGATGGCCATAGTATGGAAAAAAATAATATGGACGTCAATGGCTACCGTCAACTGTTTGTTTACCAACATTCTTCAAAATTTTGTCTTTTGTGTTCAACAGAAGAAAGATATTCATACAGATTTGGAACAACTTGAAATGGGTAAATGATAACAGAATTACAATTTTTGGGTGAACTATCCCTTTCAGAAAGGAAGTAACCAGTTTGGACCAGATCCTGCTGCATTACTGTGTGCCGACAGAGACTGGCATTTTCTACAGATACGTTCATCATGTGTCTGTGTACACATGGATGGTATTTGTGTATGTAGCCTGAGGAAGGTAGTAAGGTACACAGTACACACACACATTCTCTACATGGTGCTCGGCTGTGTTTGTAGACAGCGTCTCAGCAGGGAAGCAGTCTTTAACAGTCTGCCAGAATACCACATGTTTCCTGTCTTCTCCTGCTTGTCCCCTAGTGTGTGCTCTCCAGCAGACCCAGGAAGAGCTCTCAATATAGAGAACACTTTTGTGTGAATGGCTCCAGCACCCTGCTGTGAAGATGTCCAGAGATGTTGTGAACCCACACAACATCTCTAGACTTAAATTGTATGTATCCTAATATGTTGTGTGTAAAATGCTGGATTTACACTATAATGTTATTTGAGGACTACCGGACATTCAAAATACATCCTATAGGCTACTGTCTTGTCCTTCAAAATGTGCATCCCTGTCATTGGATTGCAATCGGATAAGGGGCGTTTGCAGTCTCAGTATGGCAGCCGCAGTGGATGGATAGACTACCAAAACGCGAACTAGCGATCTAAAACAATGGCCTCTGCAGTCTGCACCCAAAGGGGTAGGGATAAGGTGACCAGTCGTCCCGTTTTTCCCGGGAGTCACAATTTGTTGTCAATTAACCTAAAGGATAGGTGGAATCGCGCTGATAGCAGTGCTCTCTCTCACGCACGCTCCTCTTCTTCATTTCTCATATACAGCGTGCGAACAGTTCTCAGTGCTCAGATACACACACAGCAGTCCAAATGTCTATCGTGTAGAGTATCTCACATAAATACAGTCGGTTATGGATTAAGTGAACGTAAACAGGTGGGTGAAAACTGAACGTGTGTCAGTATTACATGCATGCCTTCTGTCTTAAAGGGGCAGCATTAATTAAGTACCTATCCGTGTCATTAATGTTAACCAACAAAAGATGTTAAATAAATGTACACATGTTAATTAAACCTACTGTATCTGAAAAATGAGTTTAATTTGTATCTCTTTCGTATTTGTCTTATTGTGCTTCTTTTTCATAAATTATATATATTATCTATATTATATATGAACAACTATTATTTTTATAGTTGCTCCCTTTTCACTACTGTTAAAGGGATAGTTCACCCAAAAATGAAAATTGTCATAATTTATTCAAGTTTTTCCAAGTTCAATGCTTGATTGAAATTTCTCATAAGCTTAATTGATTTGGTCTAAAGAGAGAAGAATTAATTACTCTTTTTGTTTGAAAACTACATATAAAATGCCTACCAAAATAAATGTTGGTAACTGCAGTTTGACTAAAAGTAATGACTAAAAGTTGACAAAAATGCAATGACTTTTCATCGACTAAAACTATGAAAGACTCAAATGACTCAAATGACTAAGACTATTAAGTATTTTCATCTCAAGATAAAGACTAAGACTAAATCAAAAATGCCTGTCAAAATGAACACTGGTTCTGTGCATAATTTGCATTGTGACCATTCTCAGCTGCTTCAAATAGTCTCTGAATTTGACCAAATTTGTGAGGTACCTGACAGTGAATCAAGAATGAAAAAAGTTTTTTTTTTAAGTTTTGATTGACACTTAGCCTTGATTAAACAAGATATCCTAACACACCTTTATGTTAAGTTATGTTGAGTTATGTCCAGTTACACATTTGCATGCCCCTAAATGTCAAATAAAATGCAAACTCTGGTTGGTTGACCATATTGTTTCTTCCTTTGTGAGCGGTTGGGCGCTTCTTGGTCAGAAAAAATTGCAATGTGGAGACTGCTGATGCACAGCTCTAGCACTCAGCTAGCTGTGTATCATCACCTGTGTTAACTTTGCCTTCTGTTTCTCATTGAGTCTGTATATCTGTAGCCCATCTGTGGGTGGCATTTAAAAACAGATAGTTGATGCACATTATGATTAGGTCACTCTCGCTGTTAAAAACAGCTCTTGAAACGCCTCTTCCCAGTGTCTGTCTGATTTGTCTCCAGTCCAGACAGCTGTAGGTGGGCTGTAGGAGCTTACAGACTGGTCCAGTGAGAAGGGTGCGCGACAGTGATCTGAATGATGGTAGGTAGTGTAGGTTGACTTCCCGTTTCCCAGAACTTTCATTTATTTCAGTTGCTGAAGCAACAGAGTGTGTACTTAAACATGCCATTCCCGCAGTGAGATTTCCTGTTAAAGAGCACATAAACCTGCAAAAATAATGAATGAATTGATATGATTGATATAATGAATGAATAAATAAATAAATCTAAATTATGTGAAATAAATATGTATGTAAGTGTATATACTGTGTATGTACCTAAATAAGTAAATTAGTGACAAATTTAATAATAATTTTTTTTAAACACCAAAAAAATTAAGTTTTAATTTAGCTGTAAAACAGTAACTTGTGTATGTAATAATCAGTTAATTAATCAAATGTATTTAATTAACACTCAAGTAAAAAACTGAGTTGTATCCAAAGATTTAAATTCTTTTTTTATTTATTATTAATATTAATTTACTAATGTATCCATTCAATTAGTAATAATAATAATTTATTGAATTTATTTTTTTTAAATGTTTTTATTTACATTTATTTTACAATTATTTATTTATGCATTTATTTATGTATTTATTTATTCTTGTATTTGTTTTCATAGTTATTTATATTTCACAGTTATATTTCCTCCAATATGATAATAAGGGGGTGGTCCATTTAACCCTATTTATTCTGTCCTAGATGCATGTTCCATCTACGCAACACTGACAGATAACTAACAGTCAGAAGTCAGAAAAGGGGCAGATCCAGGAGTAAAGTTGAACGTTTTACTGTTAGGTTCTTTCCTCAAGAAAGAATAAGAAATGAATGCATGACATGACACTATTGTATACTCAGTATTGGATTACAAATGCTAGTCAACCATTTATGTACGAGATAATTGGATGCAACATGAATGTCAAATGTTTATGGTTGCATACTAGACACTATTGGGAAAAAATAGTTGCAGTATGCAGTACACAAGTATTCCTTTCTGAACATGGCCAGTCTGTCTCTCTCACAGCAGGTGTGGTGTGTGTGTGATTAACTGCTCCATGTGGACTTGGATATTAAAGGGCTCATCTTTTATCCAGCAGAGAGAGAGACACCGGAGTAGAGGGGAGGAGTGAGTCTCTACTTCTGGTTGAGAAGAGAGAGTGGCAGGCGTGGCCCTGGGGGGTAGGGTGTACCCTGTTTTTTGTGGCCCTCCATCTGGAGAAACCGGCTGCATAAATACACACGCACATGCACACACACACACACACACACACACATCGTCACACTCACATAAGTGATGGTGGCTCTGTTCCACAAACTGGTGACATTTTATGGCGTCATAGGTATGCTCCTGTGAAGGCTGTTCAGAAAGGTAAGTGTTGGCATCACAAGCTTCAGATAGGGTATTGCTTGGGAATAGGGCAGTCCTAAAATTTGACAGACTCAGTGAAAACATCCAGTAAGGATGGTGGACAAAGCAAGATAAACTGAGCTAAATTCAACTTTTTTCTAGTAAAGCATATCAGTGAATATTTTGTCTTGTGGGGGGCTTCAAATAACATGTCAAAGAGAGCACCCTAAAATGTCATTTTATTCATCATTTACCTGGCCATGCCTGTACACGTTTCTTCCGCGTTACATAAAAGAAGAAACATTTTTCAAAATATGTTCTTTTGTGTTCCACAGAAGAAAGAAGTGCTGTGTATTTTTATGCTTCATTACAGTATCAGTATCTCATTTCCAAACTCTACTGGAATCAATTGTGAGTTTGGTCGCTTGTGCATTATGGCGTGTGGAGTTGCTGCCTATGTAGAACGCATAGAATTAGGCTCTTACATGATTTCATCTCAATTGAGATCCTGCTGTGGAAAGAACAGAACTGATGTGTGTTCGTTCAGAATGGTCGGGATATCTACTGTTTTACGGAATGGACCATGTGAGCGCACCAAAAAACAATCACGTTTGTGTTTGTGTGCTGGCCAGCATATGGACTGAGGCGTGTTGAGTTCTGCTCTCACACCAGCTGTGAAATGGGCTGTTTAATTAACTGCTGATGCTGTTCTAATGCAGCTTGAGAAGCGCGTGTGTGTGTGCGGTCAGTGTGAGGCAGAGGTGGGATAATATACGAACCCTCAGAGAACAGAGATACACATTAATCACACGGACACACACACGGACACACACACGCACACACATACACAGTCTCTCTCTTTCTCTGCAGTGTGAAATCTGTTCATTTTAGTGGCATTCAGAGCATGACAGGAAGTGTTGGAACCTCTAGTCCATATATGGGCACAGCTTCCTCTGAGAGCAGCTTGCACAGAGGCATTGCACTGAATACATTTGAATATCATTAGCATCTCATTAACGCATACCAGTTTGACTCAGATGGTGTGTGTCATTGTGAGGCCCATCTGCTCGTGTGTGTGTGTTTCAGCTGAAAGAAAAGACACCCATAGATCTGATGTCTGCCTCTCCTTCACACACACATTCTCTTGTGATGATGTTTGGTGCAGTAATTTAGCGCTAATGCTGTAAAGACACATAAAATATAAATGTGTCTGACAGATCCACACTCACAGGAGCTGCTGGAGGATGATGATGTTTGATGGATGAGCCCGTGCCGGAGTGAATAAAAGAGAAGAAAGCTGTAAGGGCAGGGGGTGGGGGGTGTCTCGCTACACATGTGCCTGCAGTCCTGCTGAATTATTTACTCCGCTATATCAGTGATGACTACAGGCATCACTACACTCTTGTGTAATAGGGAACTGTCTCAGTAGGCAGCAGTATAAGGCATCATAGGCATTACACTTCTGACATGAAAGTTACAAAAGGTAGGCAACTGCCTCATCCCATACCTTATTTTTGTCCGAATTCCAGCAGAATGGCATTCATCGATCATGGATAAGGCAATACCATAATGCAAAAAGTAAATCCAAGATGGCAGTTGTAACCAGACATATGTTGATTATATATTTACAGTTACACAATTAAATTCAGAAATGTATCAATAAAAAAAATATCACAATTAAAATACAGACTGTTTTCAGTAGGGCTGAAATATCAACAGTGGTTTGATCTAAAAAAAAAACAATGAATGATGAAAAATAGAGAAAATGGAGACTTTTGAAGTTGAAGTTAAGTAAGGCTCAGTAAAATGTATTTTCAAAAGATATTTTATCTTGTTTTTTGTTAGTTAGCACTAAAACAACCTCTTAACCATCCTAACCTTTCAAAATAATCATTAGTTGCAGCCCTATTTCAGTTCGAAGAGAGGCTAACGTGTGTGTGTGTGTGTGTGTGTGCGTGTATGTGTGTGCGCAATAGTCAGCCTGTGTTAATTGACTGAATGAGACAGGAGGAGACACTCGGGTATTTACTGGGACTCAGCTGCTAATTGCTCTTGTGGACTCACTCTCACTCTGTCATTCTCTCTCCCTCTCTCTTTCGCTCTATCTCTCTGCATGCATGTTTAATGGTGTGCAGCTGTAATTACTGCAGAAAGTGGCTCCTCACCTCCGCTCACCTTTGCGCCTCCCTTGCTGTTGACAGAAACCTTTGTGGCATTTCTCTTAAAAGCTTTCTTTAGAGAACACCAGCTCCTAATGGCTTCCCTCAAGAGAGGCCTGTTTTACAGACATCATCTGGACTTGAATGTCTTGACACTCAAACAGGGCTGAGATGACTGAAAAGTAGTTCTTATTCAGATTATTATCCCGCTCAATGTTTAAGACATTATTGGAACCAAACCATTCAATGTGCATTTTTATGCCAATGCAAACACAACAAATTACTCTTATGAGCTTGTTCTTCAGTTCTTACTGAAGTGCAAGTCATTCATTTAATCATACCTGACTTGAACCAAGAATCATTACTCTGTTATGTCTTAATTAAGGCTTTTGAGGTTACTTGCCGGGTAAGGTTTGCATTACTGAACGCAAGAGAGGGGAAAAAATAACCCAGATCAGTCACTGTATAAGTGTTTTTGTGTATTTTATTAATACTTTCAGAAATAACCTAAAATTTCAGTAAATATGAGTTTTAGTTGCCCCCACTCCACAAGAAATCCTTAAAATGAATATATTATACAGAAATATATACTGCCATTCTTTTTAAACAACATTAGTCATAAACACCAACCCTAAACAAATTGAAAGGAATGTGCTATACAAATAAGCTTGATATGCTTCACCTAGCCCAACAACCACAAACTGTGTTGAAGTTGCATGTTGTTTCTGCCATGTGTTGTTTGTGAAAACAAGCAGTTAATTCAGAAGATATAATAATAATAAAGCACATTTTTAGGTTACCTGAGAAAACAGTCTTTAAATCTAAAAAAAAAAAAAAACTAAATGGAGCTAAACTCTGCAGGACAATGGGTCCCGAGGGGCAGGGTTGAAGACCTAGGATGTGCATACATGTTGTTACATTGATCTTACATTTAAAGTACCTGCATGCAATTAAACCTGACCTAGTTTTGGAGGTTAGCATGCGTGTATACATTAACCACTTTATATCAAATGCTTCATTGTATGATTTAAGTTCGTAGTAGTTAAAGACACCTAATACAAAGTGGGACACAAGACATGTTTAGCAGAATGACACCTATATTCTGCTTAGCATCATCTATGAGGGTAAATAATGACACAATTTTCTTCCGTTTTGTTTTCTTTCTTTACTTTTTTAAAAATTTTTTTAGGAGAAGTATTCTGTGACGAATATGAAGACTATTCCACATGTGCCACATGGAGTTTTTTGTGCATTGGCTAAGTGTTATGTTAGACCCTGCTCACCTCTCACAGCGGACAGACTGACAGATTGAGAGACAGATGGAGTGTGTGTGTAGATATGTACTAATGATGACAGCTTTTTGAGAGCGATAATTAAGCTCTGAACTGTAATTGGCTGGATGTCCATGCAGATAAAGAATTCCGGACGAACACACTTCAGGACTTTCTTTGTTTTTCTCTCGTCAGAGCTTTTCCTGTCATCTCTCTTCATGAATGCTCCTCCCCCGTTCACTGTCTCCATCTAATGTTTGCAGTAGGCTGTGTGTGTGTCTTTCCACTCCTCCATGAGACATTTATATTTATATAGTATGTCCTTTCCACTTCAAGCTGAACTAGTCAAAAATAAACTGGTGCGCGCACAGCTTTAATCGCAGAGATGCGTAAGAAGCTGGTGCAATGTGTTTGCAATGTGGGTTTGAGTTTGCTTTTATTTATAAGCCACAATCTCCAGATAAATGGCATGAAGTTGATTACAAAATGACTGATAAACTGTTTCTCTCCTGTTTCCTCTCATTTAGCAGGATCTTCCATCAGCAGCGAGTCATCTCCTGTCTCATCTCCGGCCACTAACCACAGCTCCCCAGTCAGTACGCCCAAGCGGGCCCCCATGGGTCCAGTTATAGTGCCTCCCGGGGGCCACAGCGTACCCAGTACCCCACCTGTTGTCACCATAGCACCCACCAAAACGGTCAACGGCCTGTGGAGGAGTGAGAGCCGACCTGTACGAGAGGTAAAGTTAATCATGAAATGAAAGGCAACAGTCTTGTCAGGAACCTTAACATGCAGTTTAGGTAGGCAGCTGAAAAGGAACAGAACATGTAGAATTCTCGCCTGTTCTCGAGAACAGAGGTTCATCACATCTCTGTCTGTATAACACTGCATAGTAATGATTTACAAAAATCTGTTTCAAATAAATGCTGTTTTTTTATGTTTAAGTATCACAATTTCCACAAAATTAAGCAGTTTTAAACTATAATAATGAGAAATGTTACTTGAGCACTAATTCAGCATATTAGAATAATTTCTGAAGGATCATGTGACACTGAAGACTAGAGTAATGGGTACTGAATATTGTACCGTACCATATAGCTTTATTGAAGCAACACGCCTGAGCACTTGAAGCTGTTTGTGGCAGAAAAAATGGCTTATTGCTTTATTCACACAAGTACAGTGCTGGATTTTCATTTGCCTTGTGAATCACAGTGTGTAAGAATGTGTGTGACATATGTTTGGGCGATGCACAGCCGACAACAGGACCAACCCCCCCTCATCATACACACGCCCTCTGCCCCCCAGTGTTAAACAATGGCCCCGCAACGACACTAAACATCTGTGCCCTCATCACCCCCCTTCAGATGCCCGTAATAAGTGTATGTGCGCACTCGCTTTGATTAAGGATTAGGTCATCCTCTAATCCCACTTATCTGCTACTTCTGGCTACTGCTACTCTCAACCTGAGAAACTGGGGTGCTTTTTTCACTGAAATAAAGCTGGCACTCAGCTGGGAGATCTGTGATCCAGACTGAGCGAGAGATGCAGTGTTCTGCTCCAGCTCTGGTCTCTGATCAGCCCTGTCTGTGTGTTGTTCCAGCTGAGGTTGTGTTTGAACACCTCTGACATCACCGTTTATGATAGGAAGGGTCCGACAACACATATTGAAAGATTCTGGGTCGGTATAGTTGAGGGTGAGGGGCAGAGGTGCTCAGACCATAGCTCACAGACACACACACACACACACATACATATACACTGAACAAAGAGCTCTCTGTCTGCTGCTCAACCCTTATTATTGCTGTGTGTGTGTGTGTGTGCATGCAGGGGGGTTAATCCCATAAACTAAGGCTCTATAGATATCCCCGACTGCCTCGACCCCTGACCCTCCAGTTACATAAGCCAGCAGAGTGAGATACTGTCCTGAATTTCAAACTCTCTTTCCGCTCACTGTGAATTCAGTACGATTTTTCTCAATAGTTGTCACACATACACATGTATGAGTTTTACCAAGATGTGACGTGTGAGTGTGGGTTCTTCACTATACTGAGCTGGTGTCTTTTCCTGCCTGACTGCCTGCCAGACAAAAGCCACCAAGGCAGACAGACAGAGAGAAAGACCGAGGAGCCAGGCATCAGGCAACCCTGGGCTCCATCACAACACACTCCTCTTTCATTTTTAATGTGCATAAGCCCCACCGCACACCTGTCACCTTTTACACACACATATATTTATGTAGCTCTATAAAAGAACGACGTCATATTCTTATGTTGTTTTTATAAGTTAATTATAATTACTACAGTCTAACTTGAACCATAACAACCAACCAAAGAAAACAGTAAAACCTTGTTTTTATTTGCATGATTTTTTACATTTATTTTATTATTACTATTATTTTATTATAGTATTATTTTAATTGAGGTCCTGAGGCTTTGTCACATTTGTCCCCAGGCTCTGGCTGGTAAACCGACATGTATACGCAGAGCTTGTATGTAATTCAGTCAATGACCAGAAGAGGGCGTAAGAGTTATTTATATATTATTACATCTTGTCTTGTTTTGGATTTTAGAAACAAATAGCCATAAAAAAATCAGGATTGAGTGAATCACACAAAGATGGGTAAATCTCAGGAAGCTCTCTGGGCGTATTTCACCCTAAAATCAGTTCTTTGTGTAATGTGAAGAAGAAGGAGAAAACAAACCCTAAATGCCCAACAATCATGCTTATAAAGTTTTGAATGTATGACTGTATTTCTTTTAGGCTTATAGTCTACATCAGTATGTGACTAATATGATCAGTTAAGGAATTTACAAGTTCATGAATTTAAAAGACTGTGAAATGGGATAGATAAAAATGTCTATACTTTGTGCGCCATATAGGCTAATATAATAGTATGTTAGGTTAGGTTAATATAATAATTTCTAACTTTACAAACTTTTGGTCATTTTTTTTTTATTCAAAATAAAATGTTAATTTATTAATAATTTTCATTTCTGATAACTGTTTGCTGTGGTCATGCAGGTTTGTTTACACATTAAACTCGTGGCCACAGTTACCTTACATAGTTGCAAAATGATCTTGTGGCCACGATTTAATATCACGTTCCTACAAGTTAATATGTCGTGGCCACGACAAAACTAAGTCAACCGAATGTGTTCCCTCTCCGGTCACCGCAACATTGCTCTCTTTTTATTATTATTATTATTATTTATTTTTATTTTTTTTACTTGGACGTACAAAACGTTCAAGGGTACAAAACTATTACTATGGTGGTATCCTAAGGTACAGAATATAAATCTAATATCTATATGCCCTATTTACCCCTAAATCGTACATATTAGTACATTAAGTGTACATATTAGTACCTTTTGATTGGGTATCGCCCCAATGACATTTTTCTTTCCTGAGATTCTAACAGCTTCCTTTAACTGCATCTATACTCACAGTATAGCACAACCTCTCATAGTTTATTGCTTAAACAAACAACCAGCAGTTTCCTAGTGAAGGAGAGAGATCAAATGGAAGACGTTCACAGCATTTGACAGAGCCAAAGATCTTGTTCAACTTGATTTATGAGAAGCACAGAAATGGCCTTCAGACTCAGTTAATGGTGCTTTATGGATTTAAATAACCTCTGTAAGCTGCAGTTAAATGTCATTAGCCTCTCCACAAACAAAGAAAAAGCAATGTGGCTAATGGCAAGGTCTTTGCCTTCTCCGACAGTCTGTTCTCTCTCAATAAATGGATCAGGGTGGGGATGTCCTTCTCAGGTTTACCTCACTAATCTGTGATTTTGACTTCTTTTGTCATACCTGAACCACTTTTCTGCCTGGCTGCTCATCGTACACCTCCCTCTCCACTTGCAAGATTAAGAGAGGAAGACACAGATCAAGGGGTGCATGTATGTGCACAGTTTGAGGTTGCTTTGTTGCTAAGTGAAACGTGTTATACAACAAGAGGCGAGGGGAGAGGAAGTCACAACATTAGAAGTGTTTCATATTTGATGTCGCCTGTAGTTAGTGGTCCTCTAAATATGGCTTTACTGTAGCACTGATGACCTGTGTGTACAGCAGTGTGGTTCCATGCATGAAAATCCCATTCATTTTCTCAATGGAGAAATGGAATTTAAGCAATAACATATAGACCTCTAAAGACAGACCTACCTTGAGTTTGGAAGTTTTTAAACAACAGTATATGCTTCTGTCAATTAATTTCAACTTAATGTTTTTTATGTTTAATAGCCATACTGTACATCATACTGTACATAGCTACTGTACATCAGTGGTTCCCAACCACGTTCCTGGTGCACCAACACTGCACATTTTGCATTATCTTTTTTATCTTATACACCTTGGTTCAAAAAAATCAGAAAAAAATACTTTTACTATTATTTGCAATTTACTATTACTATTATTGGAAATCCACAGTTAGGCTAGATATCTGTGTGAATTTGGGGTGGGATATGGGGTGAGTCGAACTGGAATGGCCCAAATGAACAATTCAAAATTGTCATTTTTACTAGGGCTGGTCCGAATACCATTTTTTGAGTAATCAACACCGAATATTCGAAGCTTCGGAGGGAGGGGGATGAACATATTCTTCTCTCAACATGTATCTACACCAAACGCCGCGACAAAATACAATAGACTACTCTGGATGCGGCTTGGCGCGACAAATTCCCGACAGTTTTCTATTTATGACGCACTGACACAAATTTCAAATTATATTCAACGGTCGCTTTGAAGTGTCCAGTGTAGACAGACTTTAGCTGTTGCTGCGCGGCGCGACACGACAACTGTCGCGTCCGGTGTAGACACGGTGTACTAAAGGCAGTAATCTCTGTGTGTCTATTATGTCGAGAACTGTTCATCCAATCGACTTCACGCGTGGCGGGTGTGTTGCTGCGGACCCAAGGGAGTGCAGTGTTGCATTTTGGTGCAATATGGACATGCAACACATTCAGAATTAATAAACCTTTAATAAACTACAGAACAGCGCGAGCCGGAAGCGGCGCGCCTCACGCGGGCAGGGCATATATTCTCCAAGAACGGACACTGCACTAGTGATACAAAACACACAGGTCTGTTAAGAGCAATACTTTTAATATAGACAAATTATTATTAGGCTGGGCTACTGTAAGTTTTTTTATGACTGCCTATTTCGCAAGTATTTTCCAAACAAATTAAGTGCATGTTTTTATCATGTGTAAAATTACTGATTAACATGGCGGATAAAAGCAGCTTGTTTTTGTTTACACCAACAATATACTATAGGCGTACTACTTACAGAACTCAGATGATTTTTCAAACATAATGTGCTGTTGTGGTAGGCCAGTTTCAAATCGCATATTTGACACACTGCCTTTGTCTTGTCCTCACTCAATTTAAAGTGCTCCCACACAACTGAGGTCTTTGGCATTTTTGTCTTCTCTTCCAGATGAACTGAGTCATGACGTTCACTCATGGGCGATTCATATTCAAGCGCGAATGAGAACCGTTTAGCGGACGATGCCAGGTGTTCGAGAAAACAAAGAATATTTGAATCTCAGAATTGAAAATCGAATGCCAACCCACCGAACGAATATTCGAATATTCTGGTCCAGCCCTAATTTTTACATGAGAAAAAACATGAGCACAACACAGTTTAGAGCCAGAGAAATAGCCTATTGAGTCTACCTTCATTTTGCCCAGGTAAAAATAGTTAAAGGGGTCATATGATGCGATTTCAATTTTTCCTTACTCTTTGCAGTGTTACAAGCGCTTGGTGCATAAAGAAGATCTGTAAAGTTGCAAAGACTAAAGTCTCAAATCCAAAGAGATATTCTTAATAAAAGTTCAGAGTCAGCAACACCTACCTAAAACGGCTCGTTCTAACATGCCCCCACATATCTACCTCACTATGTGGGAAGATTTGATGGTGAGGGGCGTAACATTTCCGTCTCACGCTTGAGGTATTCGGCCAATCACAACGCACTGGATAGCTGGCCAATCACAGCACACCTCGCTTTTTCAGACCGATGAGCTTTGTAAAAATCGACGCGTTTCAAAAAGGCGGGGCATAGAGGAGAAACAATAATGTACATTATGTGGAAAATAATGTGTTTTTTTACTTTAAACCGCATAAACGCATTTCATTACACCAAATACACAAAATAATGTTCTTTTTACCAGCATCATATGACCCCTTTAAAAAAATATTATTATTATTAGTTTAATCTTGTTTTGTGGGGCTGGAGCATGTGACGTATAAATGCCTCTAGAGAGCATCATCTGCACTGGTTTGCGCCACATCAAGCATAAACAAGGTTTTACATGCTGTTGAAATTTTTAGGCACATCTGAGAAGTGCTGTACATTTTGGAGTTTGCTTGGCAAACATGGGCTGCATGTGAAGCTGTAGTAGCGCACTTCTCACACAAAACGCTCCTCTCTTCTCTGTCTAGGCTGAGTCAGGTCCTCGTGGAATCTGCCGGGACAGGTTAAGTTCAGAGGCTTCTTCTACCCAAGAGAAAGGGGGTCCCACTGTCCCGACCCACCTAATTGGAAACCCTTATGCATTTGGCTTGACGCCCGCGTCTGTGATGCAGGACTCACGCTTTCAGCCTCTTAAGTGAGTATTACTTACGAACTGTGGGAAATTGACTTCACTGCTAGGCCTTTAGTCTTTCACTGATCAATCAGCCTGGACTTGTTTTAATTGATTCAAGGAATACATTGTTCCAGTGGTAACACAGATGAACACAGTCACTCTTAAGCACAGCATGTCAGACTGTTGTAGCCTGCCTACTATCGCTATTTAGATTTTAGAGATATTTTATGTTATGAAATATTTTTGGTTCATTATGAAACTGTGGCGGGGCAGATTAGATGCAGGCCACCACAATCTTGGTAATTAATGTTTAGATAACTGTTTATTATTAGCTCCGGTCCAGTAAATAATTTAGAACATATTTTAATAATGTTTTATGAAAATGTTGACATTAATTTTAACTAAGATAAACAAATGCTTTATAAGTATTTTTCATTGTCAGTCCATGTTAATTAATTTTAACAAATGGAAACTTATTGTAAAGTGTTACCATTCCACTTTGTTACAATTTTGTTCATGCTAAAAACTTTAAGGTGTGTGGAGAGGCCCTAATACCTGCCATCCCTTTTCAGACACAACTCGTGACGTCATTCTTGGCCAATTTTTTTTTATTGGTTATATTGCTTTAAGTTTTTTTCCTCTATTTCACTGACAGCCTGCCCCGTCAGATGCCCCATACTCTGCCCCCGGCCAGTGTTCCTGAGGAATATCTGAGGGGGTTTCGTCCTTATGCCACAGCCGAGGAGCTACGCATGCCGTCTTTACCCCTGGGGCTTGATCCTGCCACTGCTGCAGCTGCTGCTGCTTACTACCATCCTGGATATCTGCCCCACCCCTCCTTCTCACACTACAGGTACACAAACATGCAACGACTAAAGTCGCGGTCACTCTAGACTTTGAGCTTGCGAAATTCGTTCGGACGGTGCTGCGAAAAGGAGCGGGAGCAGGATATGACATCACGCGCCAAAATATCCCCACTAGTCATAATTCTTTTCTATTTAAGTGATTACAATCAGTCACAATATAGTATATGATGTATAGTTAATCAAGTACACATGCACACATACAAAAAAAATCACATAAAATTACTCGTTTCACTGTTCAAACGTGCCATCCGCTCCTGTTTCCCTTGCCACCGCAAACCAAGGTTTTCTTTTTATATGATTTTTGTAATCTTTTAAAGTTGTGTTGTATAAAGCAGGAAGATGCGACACTGCTAAAATTAGCAATTCCTCCATTTCTGTACCAAGAGGTCACTTTGTGAGGTTTTGATCTTCTATTGGTCTCACGCATTCACGTGACGCGAATTCGCAGGTCAGAGTTCACCAAACTTGAACTTTGCTACGCAGCGAAATATCTTTGCACAGCCTTGCGTTTCCGGTCTGACATTCGCATGCGTATGAATGGAAGTCAATGGAATGAAAAGTCTAGTGTGACCGCGGCTTAAACGCATTTAAAACCCTGGAGATATTAGCTGAGATTTGAGATTTACTGTAAACTAAACCAAATTAAGTGATGATTCTGTCCTTATTTACTCACTGTCAGGTTGTTTCCAATCTGTGTGACTGTCTTTCTTCCATGGAACACAACAGGAGACATTAAGCAGAATGTTCACACTGCTTATTTGCATGCACGGATATTAATGGCGATTTATTCTGTTCTGCTCCAAAAAGCACCATTATAGTAGTCTATACAACACTATAATCATAGTTATTCACCGATAATTTGAGCATAAATGGGGACAGTATTCGGTTTTATTCTGTTTTAGTTCTTATAGCAATGACATGGAAGTTAAAGGATGATAAATACAACTATACAGTTTTAACAATCAATCAATAATAATCACCTAATTCTATGAGAATAAGGAAGTCCACACCACCACTATAAAATAAGGACTGATGAATGATAAAATTATTGACAGCCAATCAGATTCCACCCGACTTTAAAGAGCTTGAGAATTTAAAGTGGCAGCATGCCACATATCTGCAGCATGATAACTGCAGCAGATAGAACTTATAGAACACTAATATAGTTATCTTTATAGTTACTGTTCTTGGTGTGAGTGGGACTTAATGTACTGCACAGGAAAGACTAAAGGTGTAACATATCATTTTTGTACCACCACATCTCCACAATGGGACCTTTCCCACAGCCACTTGTTGCATGGCCAAACAGCCCTAAACCCAATTTGTGTCAGTATTTCTGTGTAGGGCTGGTCAGAATGCTCAGATAAACAGATCAATGTTTAGAAAGAGCCTCAGTGTTTAAATTATTTCAAGCAATCAACCTATGAATGGCTTATTTATAGCTGTCTAAGTTTCTTCCTATTTTAACTCTCTTAGAATGGATGATCCATTCTGTCTCTCAGCGCTGAGGTCGCCATTCTATCCGTTGTCTGCAGGGGGTGCTCTAACTCATCTTCACCCATCTGCAGTACACATGCACCTGCCTGGGGTGCGTTACCCTGGAGACCTAAGCCACCCATCACTGTCCAGCCTACAGTCAGAGCGCTTGTCAGAGAGGTACACAACAACACCATGACACCTTGACGTAAACAATGGAAAAAATGGAAATATATATTAATGCATTACAACTTGATGAATCACTATAGCATATTATATTGTACCGCTGTCATTTTTTGTAATGGTAATGGCCATAAACTAATTTCATGACATTATATCTAGATGTAGTACTGTAGTAAAATTTCAGACTTGATAATATTTGATTATTTTTTTAATAAATAGCATTGGAAAAAATATTTTTTGTCTTATTGTATCGCACACTCTGATTTACAGCAGACTGAACTAGAGATAAAAAATCTAAATATGTAGTGCTGGGGAGACGGATTAATTTTAGTGAATTTGCCGTATTTAGTTTGTTCATCTAAAACAGAGTCGCTGTGCATACAACTGTGCAGAATTTTTCAGTACTATCTTGTACACAAAAAATTATTATATTATAAATACACTATCAAGAACATAAGTATTGCTCTGACTGCATCTAATAGTTAAAAAATATTACCCATTTTAAACAGCTTTAATGCAGTTAGATGCTGTTTATTAATGGCTTGTAGTGTAACCTCGAAAGGGGAGATTGACTAGTTTAAATTTATGAGTAGCTTGTTGCTGGACAAACTTTATAAGTAGCTTCACCAACAATGACATTCACAGACAAACAAAAACACATATTTGCGCTATGTTTCTGTAGTTTGAGCTCATCAGTGTGTGTGTGTGTTGTGTCTTCACAGACTCCAGATGGAGGACGAGCTGCGACAGAGAGAAAGAGAACGCGAGCGCGAGAAAGAGCGGGAACGAGAGGCTGAGCGAGAAAAGGAGCGTGAGCGAGAAAGGGAGCGAGAGAAGGAGCTGGAGCGTGAGAGAGAGAGGGAGAGAGAAAGGGAGAGAGAAAGGGAAAAAGAGAGAGAGCGTGAGAGAGAGATAGAGCGACAGAAGGAGAGGTCAGCACGAGAGAAGGCTGTGGAGAGCCACTATCTGGCTGAGCTTCATGGGCTGAGAGGTCCCCCAGACGACAGAGCCAAACCTGACAGAATCACTACGAACAGACCTGGTATGAACGTTGATTTCCATATGCCAAAGCAACTGAACCACAAAAACATGCTTAGTAGCATATCTTTTGTTGTACTAGTTTCAGCAATTTTATACTCTGGTTTAAGTACACAGTGAAATGTGAATTAAATAAAATTATTAAAAATATACCATCATGATGTATGGTATAAAAAGTTAAGAGTGGAACGTTACATGTTTTTGTGAGATTCACTACACTTAGTCCCACTCCAGATAATTGTATTTTATAAGTTGCAATGTAATGTATGTAGCAAGAAGTCTGGCTTACCTAATAGAGTGAAGTCTTTCACTTCACAGGAAGATCGAGTTGTGACATTTTGATTATGAGGAGCTAGAAAAAAAGAAAAGAAACATATGCATGGATTAATCATTCAGAATAAATTCAAATGGAATGGGTGAGCTTCCATTTCATGCTGACTTCAAGTGGATATGAAGTCAGTCAGTCAAGTTAACATCATTTAGTACATACATTTCCACCATAATCATAATTATATAACAAACAAGACAAATGTAAACATTAAAAAAAAGTCCTGTCATAGCTTTTGTAGCAACATCACCACCACCTTTACAGTACAATAACCTGTGATGTCACGGGGATTGGTTGTCTTGCCATTAACATTCAATATTAATACAGTTTGTGCTTGTTAGACAAAGAAAGACCGTCAAGTTTATTTGTAAAGCCCTGGAAATGACATGCGGAAGAAAAATTAAATATTGTTGCCACAACTTATTAATTAATTCCCTCATTTTAGTTAAATTGTGGCCATGTTGTACTAATTTGTTCATTAATTTTAATTTAACAAGGGAATGAATTAATTAAATGTGGCCACAAATTAATAAGTCATAGAAAGCAAGTTTAATTATGTTTCCCTACAAAGATACAATTCCTAAGTTCTTTGTATTGAACTTTAGTGTTTCTATTTTAATGAACTTTTAAAGTTTGAATCACATTAAAAGCATAATTTGTACAATGTAAATTATTTGCATAAATAATTAATTAAAAATAAGTTTTACAGTGTTAAAGCAAAGGACGCAAGTGTACATTTTCAAGTCCTGCTAAAACGGAGAACAGTACTGCTTTGCTGGCTAGTGGCACTGAAAAGAAGGAACGCTCCTCCAGAGTGAAATTAACATTTTTGGAGGAAGATTACATTGAAGAGAAGACCTTTGAGTCAGGCAAGTTAGTTGTTCACAGCAACAAGAGACTTAAACATGAAAGTCAACCAACACTGGTATATAAACAACTATGTCGCAGGAACGTGGTGGCTCACTAGCTGGATTGCTAGGTAGAAATTACGAAAATATATTTGTCATATCTGTGGTTTAAACAACTTTTTTTGAATCAGATTTTAGGCAAAGTTGGTTTTATAATATATCCTGGTGCCGAACACATGCACATTTCATTACCACTTTAACACAACAGCCAATCAGTTCAAATGTGATTTTGCCTTAAGCATCACATTTCACTGCATTATATAATCTTTGTTTCACCTGTGTGACCTGTCATTCTGTGCAGCTAAACATTATGACTATAATTTCCCCCAGATAAAACCAAAGAGCCCACCCTTACAACCCCTAAACCAATCCAGCCTGGACTTCACCATTCTCTAAACTCCACCCATCACCCCGTGCCCAGCCTTGTCTCTGCCCATGGCATGTATTTGGGCCCTGGAGGGGCGGGACCTGCCAGTCTGACAGCGGCCACCATGCTGCTGCGCAATAATGAGGAAGAGCGCTGGTTGGCCCGGCAACGGAAGCTACGACAAGAGAAAGAGGACAGGCAGTACCAGGTTTCAGAGTTCCGTCAGCAGGTCCTAGAGCAGCACCTGGACCTCGGCAGACAGGGGGAAATCGCAGACCTGCATATAGAGGGACACGGGTAAGGACATTTTCACACTGGAGGTTGTCATACAGATGTATGCATTCCCTGCGCTTTGAACATATTTGTTGTTTAATGACAAAAATTCAGCCTACAATATACAAGAAGTCACACTTTTTTACTACAATTTTTACTATCATATTCAGTTATTGAGATACATTAACATATGTCATCTAGGAAAATCAGAAATGCTGGATTATGAAAAACTAAGCAGGTATGGGTGGTGATAAAATCATTATAAATCAGGACCCATCATAGCCGCGGGAACGTATTTTGAGCTGGGGGGGCTGATAAATAAAACGGGGG